GTTAGCAAAACTCCGAACCGGCGAATCAAATGCACGGCTAGCATCGATTTTTAAAACCAGCGAAGTCACTTACTCGCGAATGCTCCATACTGGCAGAGAAGCACTACTGCAGGACTTTGTTCCTATTCACTTAGGCTTTGACCATATGACCCGGGAAGATGTAGCACGGAGGAACCTTATGATTCCTGAAAGAATTTTTGGAAACCCGGAGAGTCCTACCGACGAAAGAAAAGCCATAACAATTGTAGATGGCAATTACATATATATTCAAAAGAGTTCAAACTACTTTTTTCAAAGGAAATCCTATAGCAGCCACAAGTTCAGAAACTTATTAAAGCCGTTTCTGTTTGTATGTTGTGACGGGCACATCATAGAAGTTTCTGGTCCACACGCTGCTACTTCTTCAGATGCGCAAATAATGCTTAATATTGTACAAAATGAAAATGAACATGGCGACGGATTATTTCAATGGTTTTATCGAAATGGGGACATTTTTATTTTGGACCGTGGCTTCAGAGATACAATTTCCACCCTTGAAGGATATGGATACACCGCTAAGATGCCAGAGACTAAGCTTCCTGGGGAAACGCAACTTACAACAGAACAAGCTAATAAGTCGCGACTTGTTACTATTTGCCGATGGGTCGTGGAAGTCGTAAATTGCCGATTTAAAAGAGATTTTCGGCTGCTAAGACATGTTCATATCAATATAACACTGCACAATATGATGGATTATTTTAGAATTGCTGCCGCATTAATAAATGCCTATCACGTTTTGATAGTGGATAACGTTCATGCTACTGATATCCTTCAAATAATAGGTGAAAGAATAAACATGCCCAATACACTGGGAGATCTTGTGAATAGACACAATTTAAACCGAAGGCGAGCACAGTTCCAACCCATGGCTGCGGATATGGCAGATTTCAATGATTTTCCAACATTGACAGAAGAAGATTTAATATTATTCAGCCTTGGTGTATATCAGCTCAAACAAGCAAAAAGCTATTACGGAGAGCACCTTCAATCCGACGGAGCTTTTATCATCGAGCTCGGTGGTGGGATTCCTCTGGAAATAGTCAGGGAACTTGAAGGGGAAGACTTGTGGATTATAAGAGGACGCATACAATCCCGTCACATTCAAGCAAAAAAATACTACGTATATATTGCACTCGATCGGGCAGCAAATGGTCGTCCAGCATTAGCTCATTATTATTGTACATGCAATATCGGCAAGAGGACCATTGGATGCTGCTCTCATACGATGACCATAGTCTGGTACATGGGTTATGCTAGACATGACCCATACCTCACCCCACCTGCAATAGCATTAGATGATGTTTATGTTAGATTAGGACAAATATAAATGAATTAATACTAATAATTAATATTAATACTAATTGAATGTTGTTTCATTTTGCTCTTTATGAAAGTTACTGACACTAAATGAGGAGCTGGTGGTATTGTTGCTTGTTTTATTCATATTTAATATACTTGACCAAATGTATTAAAACAACACATCTTAACAACATTTTATTTCACATTGTATTTTAAAACCATGTAACAACATAACCATAGGGCGCACAGGTTTGGTGTCATATTAAAAAATAATAGGAATTTTGTGATCTATCCGAATATTACGCTTTTTTTTCTGGCCGGCACTTTCAGATTTGGCCCAAAAATGTATGGAACGTGAATGGTGTCCTTTACCCTAAAACCAAAACGATCTTTTAATATAGATGTATAAACATTAGCCAATCCTTGTAAACTATTAATTCCTTTGCCTACATGTTTCCCTTCCTATAATTAAAAATAAAAAATGGTGCACGCGACGATGGCGCCGCAACCGGAAAACAAAAAAGACACTTCGATTTGGTGCGCTTTTAACGGCCGCCTGAGCTTTGCGTTGTTAGTCAAAAAGTGAATTTATATTCATTAAATCCTTCCTGGAAGCTTACGTTTGTGGATTTTAGTGATTGTGATCAACTCCTGTAAATGTTTTGTAACACGGTAATATTATCTATACAGTATTGTGACTCGGCCCTGTCCTTGAAATAACTGCCTACGGCCGATTTTAATTTAATCTACGTAATTGAGTTTCTCTCTAGTTTTGTGATTGTAAATATTTTATTTCATATGTTAAAAAAAATGTTGTGAGTGAATTAGAAAGTGTTACATAAAATACATGTTATTTTAAGTGTAATATTTAATAAAAAAATATAAATTTGAGACAGAAAAATATTTACGCCTCCACTGACGAAAAGCTTAATTATTAAATTTAATAATGTAATAAATACGCATTCGTATAAAAAGTTTAATTATTGAAGAGTTTAAGCAACCAAAACCAGCACAATATCGACTATTGCTCTTTGCCATATTAAATTATGTAGGTTCTATTCAATTCAATCAAATATTCACAATACAAACGTTTAAGCTCGGCTAACTGCTTAAAAACAATTCACACCGTTCGGTCGTCGCTGCGGCGCATTCGCGACTGGATGCCCACCGGGTGCCGCGCGAACTCGAGTGGCGTAGGTATGACACGCTTTTCGACAGTTTGTATGAATACTGTATAGACAATATTACCGTGCCGTCAATTAAACAATCAAGCAAGATCTCCTACCTACCTCATCCTGAGACCAGATTAGTTTATAAAGATTCCTACTACTTGCATTGTTCACGGGGGTTTTACAATCGACTCACTGAAAAAAGTAGCTTCTCCATGAAGCCTATCCATTTTTTTTGGTGCCTCCTGTGAGGAAAATATAACCTCAATCTTGTTAAACAGTTACAAGTTCTAACGTAAAGTACAATAATAGCGTTAACTTGTTCAATTTAAAACATTCATCATTTCTAAAATAAGCTAATAACGTAATTTAACCAATTTTTCTTAAAAAATAGATAGGTTATTAAACTACCTACAAAGTTTCGCTAAAATCGTTGTTAAATTTCGAAGCACATCGAAGTATACCTACTTATTTAGGCCCACTTCTGTGTTTCACATAAGTATTATTTAACTGTGTAACTGCATCAATTATTACGATTTGTAGGTTTTCATAGTGCTCGCAATAATAATTTTATTCTAAAACCATCGTTTTTATAAGTATATAAATACCTTTTTACATAAATGTTGTAATCTGGGACACATTATAAATAAAATATAAATAAAACTAATCTCTAAAATTATAACATTTTAAAACGTAATTATTAAATAAATTATAAGATACCAACGTAAATTGTCTTTGGTGTTCTATTACTAGGTAATAAAGGTCATTTTCCGTTGCACGTGTTATTTCCATTGCGGAATTGTAGAGTGACAATCAGTTCGCTCGTTCCTGTATTGGCATCTATCTTTACCTATATATTGTTTACTGTGGGTCGTGAAATCAACTATTTTGTTTGTTAATGATTTATTTATAAATGTATTAAAATTTTATATGATTTGTCTAAAGCAATTAAGGAAAATGGTGAACGTATTTCTGCGTTTCGTGCTAGGTATAAAAATATAGAAAAATTTCGCCAAAATTTTATAGAATTGAATGATAACATAAACAAATTACAATTACAGGGCAATCCGGAGTTTGTTATTGACAACAACATGTTATAGTCATTTGATGATTTCTACTATGCCTGTATTGAGTTCGCCGATTCGCAGAGAGGACAAGAAAAGTTCGCGTTGTGAGACAAGTCTCCACGGGCCGTCCACGGCACAAGTGAAATTACCTAAATTACAAATACCTAAATTTGACGGTGTTGTTGAAAATTGGCAAACGTTTAAGAATAGTTTTTTGCCCTTAATTGATAATAATCTGATATTGAGAAATTTCACTATTTGTTGTCGTGCCTGTCGGGTTGTGCATTAACTATCGCGAAAGGTGTGCCCATTACGGCAGCTAATTACTCCGTAGTTTTCAGTGCGCTACTGGATAGGATTAATAACAATAGAATTCTGGCTACTACCTATTTGGACAAAATATTCAAATTGATACCGATTAATAAACCTACCTAATTTAACTAATTTATCGGAATTAACTAATGTGCTTTTTGAAAGCGTTAATGCCTTGCGCGCGCTTAATATTGATAATTTAGCTGAATTTATACTTTTTTACATCGCCGCGCGCTCTCTTGACGCCGACACAAGAAAACGTTTCGAATTACAAAATAGTACCTAAATACCACAATTTAGAGATTTAATTAGTTACTTACAAAACTATATCAAAGTTTTGGAGGTCAGTCAATCTACTCAGGCTACCCCATCAAACTCTCATAGTAAACCGTGGCGTACTTCAACAATAAGTAAACTTTCACATACCCAAAAATCGTTAGACTCGTCTGTCAAGCCAACAAACAATAATTACGTTAAAAATGAGCGAACTGTGTGTAGTTGTTGTGGTGAAAGTCATTCAATATATCGTTGTGGGCGGTAGCGGAACGTCGTCACGCGTTAGCAAAATTTAGACGTAATCCGACCCCAAATAACTTTGACACATATAAAAACAAAATTAGCATGGCCCAGAAAGCTATAAGACAGGCACGTGACAAAGAAAAACATAAATTTTGGACATCATTAGATCATTCTGTGTCATCAGGCGAGATGTGGCGTAGAATGAGATGGGCTAAGGGCAACAGAGAACCAAGGGCAGCAGTACCTATAGCTTGACCGCCGTAAACTCGACCTTCCCGACCTTCCCGCGGGACGCGGGGCGGCGGGTGCGCACGGGTACACACGGTATTGCCGACGCGACGAGATATCTCAAGATCAATATATCTTCGTGTTTTATATGTGTTAGTTTTTGTATTAGTGTTATGAATTTACTAGTGTAATATTTTGTAAATCATAAATAATAGATCTTGAATTTGTAATATTTTTTATTCTTATACTATTTACATTATATTAAAATTAAATTATTATTATTATAGTTATGTTTGTATTTATTTTTTAAGCATTTAACTGCTAGATGTTTAAATCTAAAGAAAAGTTTACTAGAAAAAAAATCCACGCGGACCAGGCAGCGGACGGGACTATATATTATTATTATATATTATATTATAACTAGGTATATAGTTTTTTACAATTTGAGGTTTAAATCTAGGAAACATTAACTTATTTTTTTCTTAAATATATCTATGTAGTATTAGTAAAGATAAAAAGGAGATTGAAATTTCAATCATATTTCTTCATCTGAATCCTTTTCTGATTCTGAGTCTGAGGAAGATTCGGATGACGTTTGTTCTGGCAGTTGAATTATGAAAGGTCGGCACATGTCATCGTCATTTTGATCGGCTATCCGGTCTTTTTCAAGGTACTGGTTTTCAATTTTTATTACGTGATCCACACATCCTTTCCATTGAGCCGTCGAATATTCAGCAAATATTTGTTGTAGGTTTCTGTTTTTATATTCAAATTTGTATTTAAGTCTGATCAACCCAGTCTGTTCTTTGCATATCCCCAAATCCAGTTTGTTGCACGCAAAGACGTAAAGTAATCTCATGTGTAGCGGACACAAGGCTGCAACCGCGCGAGGTCTGACGGTGAACGTCTATCGCTGTCGGCATTCGACAGGACACTGATTGATTGGTCGAGCGCGTTCCCCTCCCGCGTCCCGCGGGCCATCGAGGGTCGAGTTTACGGCGGTCAAGCTATAAACACCTCGCTACTGAATTGATTAAAAGCCTGACCCCCGAGTGGGTGCTCACAGAACAACCCACTTTTTCATCTTACGTATCTGACTTAAATGCTTCATTGTCGATGTCTGAACTAAACCAATGTTTAACGCATATCAAAATACCGCCCCCGGTTTTGACGGGATTTCTTATTGTATGATCGAAAACCTACCACAAAACACAAAACAGATTTTATTATTTTTATTTAATCAAATATATTCTAAGCAATTTGTACCTAAACAATGGAGAGAAATAAAACTAGTAGCTATACCCAAACCAAGGAGGGACCTGAATGCAGTCTCAGACCTACGTCCCATATCGATGATGTCATGTGTCTGTAAAATATTCTATTTAATCCTCAATAAGCGACTAGAGTATTTTTGTGAGAAATAGTTTGTTCCTTTACTATAATACAGGTTTTAGAAAGTGCCGTTCTACATTTGATAACTTGGCGAGTTTGGTCTCTAAAATACAGTTGGGGCTCTCAGAAAAAAAGAGTACTATTGCATGCTTTATGGACATAGATAGTGCATATAATAACGTAGATGTTAAAGCGTTATTAAATATATTAGAAAATTTTAAAGTAGGTTCAAGATTATGCTATTATTTTTGGAACTTTCTTTCGGAAAGACACCTAAAAATAGAAATAAATAACAATTATATTTGTCGTTACACAGGAAGAGGGTTGGCACAGGGTGACCCATGCTCACCAATGCTTTTCAATATTGCCACAGTGGGTATAATGAAAGAAATTAACAACATATTCATTTCACAATACGCGGATGATTTCGTGATATATACATCTTGTACAAATCAATATGATGGGCAAGTGTTGCTTCAGAATGCATTAGATATTTTCTCTAATGTTTTACAAAAGATAGGCTTACACATTTCTAGCAATAAAAGTAAAGTTTGTACATTTAAAAGAGGTTACAAACATAACCAAATCATACTTAAGGTAGATAATAAACCCCTTAACATAGTTGATAATGTGAAATATTTAGGAGTGTGGCTAGATCATAAGTTAAAATGGACAAAACATATAAACGAAATTAGGGAGAATGCTTTAAAGTTTGTTAATATTCTAAAAGTATTGTCGGGGCCGGGTTGGGGGGTACACCCTTTACATTTACGACGATTGTACATGGCCTGTGTGAGAAGTAGACTTGACTATGTTTGTTTTTTATATGATAACAGTTCTAAAAAACAACTAGATAAATTGAATGTTGTACAAAATCAGTGTATGCGAATTATAGGCGGTTTTATAAAATCAACAGCAGTTCATGTCATGGAAAGTGAGCTGAACCTACCCCCACTATTTATTAGAAGGAAATATTTAGCAGGAAAATACTGGTTAAAATGTTAATCAACGGCAGTTAACGATCTTATTACAGATTTGGATAAATTACATACATTTACAGAAAATGCATTTTGGAGAAATAAGAAAAAACCGCTTCTAATTCAGGTACACGAAAAATTTAAATTTATGTCTATCTACAAAAGCACTCAATTAGAAATGTTTAATTTTGACACTTGGATTAGTAATTTAAAGGAGGACGGGCATTTTGGTATCCAATTGGTGTTTGGTATCAATAGCGATGAGTGATATATCATTGAATACCTCTTTTACTATGGCGGCATTTTGATATTTGTTGTCCGTTTTTATTTTTTCCAGAAAATACCAGAACCATTTTTGCCTGAACCGTTATTACCATTATTACTACATTATTATACTTACCGAATAATAATTAAAATAATATAATTCAACATTATTGTACATGTGTAACCGGTAGACGTACCATAGGAACTTGTGCTCACATATTATTAATTATATGGTACCTAGGCTATGCCAGGCACGCCGGATTCATCGCTCCTGCACTGTTTCTAAATGACATCCTTATTATAGATAATGAATAAAGTAATTACTCAAAAATTACTTTCTTTCACTCTGCGCCTCTGGATAACTGCATACACAAAAAATTAAATGAATAAAATCATAATGTACCAACAAAGATTAATATTTAAAATCTATTTTTATCTATTTTTGTTAAAAAAGTTTTTTATTAAGTGTTACCGTCATTGGCGTATCTAGGGTTATTTTTTCAGGCGGGGCCTGGGCCCTGACATTGAAGAGTCATCTGAAGTTAGTGATTAGTATTATAGAATTTCGAATCGGTAGTCCAACATCCAGGGGTGGGCACGGCCCACTTGGCCCCTCTATATACGCCTTTGGTTACCGTTCAAGATAACAAGCTAATTATTCTGTTTTTTTATTATGTTTTTACCATTTTCTTTTATTAATTTTCTTGTTAAAGATAAACATTAAATAGTTCACACGAGGTTGTATTGTTACTAAGTCGAAAGGCACTGGTATCTGCAATACAGTTTTTTTTTTAAAACTTTTGCAGATATCAACGCTCTAACCTAATGCCTATTGTTAATACTTACAACACTGCTAAAATAATGTATAACAATTTAAAAAGAAAAAACTTTTTTTTTTATTATTTATTATATAAAACTCTGTTTCGACAACGTATCAGGGCAAGCGCCATAGTAGGCATTATTGTATTCAAGTAGACCTTTCAAATGATATGTAACACATCTCTATTGGAACAGATACCAAGTTCCATACATTTTTGCCCATCATCCAACTGACAGTACAAACTGAAATTGTTATAATGACAGGACCTAAACGGTTTCATAGAACAGTAGACTTGAAAAACCTCTGTGATCAGTTCATAGAAGATGAGTATGGTAAAGCGTATAAAATATACACGGATGGTTCGAAAGGTAGGGAGGGTGTGGGCGCGGCTTTCTATGATGGGCAGAATAATAACTACATTGGCTTTAAACTCTCAAAAGAGATAACAATAATGAACGCGGAACTAATAGCAATAGCGGAAGCCTTATCCTACCTGACAACTGTCCCGTGCTCAGAAGTGGTCATACTTTCCGATTCGAAGAGTTCGCTACATCATATTGCTCGATGTGCCTCGTCTATACGAAGTCTACCGATAGCATATAGTATTATACAGTCTGTCCGTGAACTGAACACACAGAACAAAAAAGTGGTATTACAGTGGATCCCTTCCCATTGCGGTATCTTACAAAACGAAAAAGTGGACTCCTTAGCAAAGGAAGCAAGCATAGAAGGGGTGGATTTTTTGTGTTTACCGTATGGTTCGGAAGTAATGAATTATATAAACCAGTGGTGTAATGACGTTTGGAAAGAACATTTTGATGAACGATCCTTGAGTAAAGCAATATGGTACAAAACAATACAACCAACTTTACCCAATAGCCTCTGGTTTACGGATACAGATTTGGAAAGGGATACCATAGTACTGGCACACAGACTCCGATCTGGTCACATACCTTTAAATAGCTTTGGTTACTTGATGAGAAAAGAGAACTCTCCAAATTGTACTGAGTGTGATCGGATCGAGGATGTGTGGCATGTGATGGCTGAATGTACGAGGGTTGCAGCAGAAAGATACCACCTTTTTAACCAATTCCCGGAGCTGTCAGTAATGGATGTTGGTTTATATAACAGCATACTGTCTAGTCCCTTTTCCAAAATAAGTAAGGTCTTGTATAAAATAGTATCAATCTGTATAAGAGGACGATAGAAGCTTAGAACGATAAGGGTGACATGGTCTTTATTAGACAAAACCCTTTAAAAAAAACGTCTATGATGCCATCGACGGTAATACCTTCCCTCGTCAAGGAGAAGTTTAATCATTTGGATATCGCCGACCGCGAATTTTTTAATCCCGGTCCGATCGATCTTTTAGTTGGTGTAGAATGTTTTGATCAGATATATACTGGTTCCGGATTTACTCCCGGTCCCGGATTACCTTGTGCTTTGTCTAGAGTGTTCGGCTGGGTGATAACTAGCCAGTTTCTTCATAACATTCAAATTCCCCAACACTCCGTTACGACGCTCATCGCGACTTTAAGTACGCTCGATACGCTCGTTCAACGGTTTTGGGAAACGGAGGAGCCTCCTAAATATAATATAACCGCACCGGAAGATGAGGTATGTGAAAAAAAAACAAAGAAGGTACTTACCGAAATCCAGATGGTCGTTACGTAGTTCCCATCATGCTTAAAGAAGACGCTCCCTTATTGGGTGATTCTACTCGTATCGAATTAAATCGCTTTCTCAACTTAGAAAAACGACTTACCAGTGAACCGCAGTTGAAAATAGATAAGCTTAGGGCACATGCAACGAGCTGAGCCTTCGGTCATTAGACCTTACATTGCATGATTAAACCTGATAGTTCTACTACACGCTTACGCGTGGTATTCGATGCCAGTAGTAAAACGGACGACGGTGTTTGTTTGGATAACATGATTCATGTTGCTCCCAAGTTACAAGTCGACATTTTCGTCAACTTGCAGCGGATCATGGTAGCGAATACATGAGTCGTGCTGCTCAAGTTCTGTGTGAAGAGACATTTGTCGATGACGTAATAAGCGGCTGTTCGTCTTTAGATGAAGTTAACAGGTTAAAAACGGATCTTATTTCGTTACTAAGTGAGGGTAAATTTGAATTACGAAAGTGGAGCACTAACACTTTTAATTTTCTATCAGAAATCCCATTAAATCATTGTCAAACTGCAGAATCTTTCGATAAAACCGGTCAAGAGTTTTTTTAAAATATTAGGAATACAATGGGATCCCAATGAGGATAGTTTCTTTTACAAATTTTCTGATAAATTTATTACAAATTTTACTAAAAGGTCTATACTTTCTACTATAGCACGTATTTTCGATCCAGTGGGTTGGTTGGATAAGTCCGGCTGTCTTTGCTGCCAAATGCTTGCTTCAGGAAATGAGGCGTATGAATTTAGCTTGGGATGCGCACATACCCAGTCATTTGGCCAAACGGTGGCACATAATAGCCGCGCATTTATGTGATTTGCAAAA